AGCCATTATTAGTCTCAAAGTGGGTTCCTCGTCATCGAATAAGGAATAATACGTTTCAAGACTCAAATTATATCTATCTACCTTTAATTAGTTTTCTGTCTGTGCTGACTTCGGTGTTATATTTATTTCGGTGAGATCTGTCAGAAGAACTCTGTTAAAACTGGAATAACAGTTTGTGTGCTACGGCTCACATTAATGGAAGGGGCGGCCTGCGCCCCCAATTATACCACTATTTATTTAAGCCTGACACCACCTAGTACTTTTATAGGTAACTGTACATTTCTTAACATTGAATTTCATTTTAACACTGCTAAATTATCAAATTTATCGAGGCCTTTCTAAAGTAAAGAAACAGTATCAATAGAATGAATGATGATAAAACATTTATAAATCAAATTTTAATCCTTCAAGGAATATTCACAGAGTACGATCGGTAATTTACTTTTGTATTCCCTGATAATTAAAAAATCTGAAGAAATTGTAAAAAATAAGTATGTTTACTTAAGTTGTAGACATATCCATTTCTTAAAACACATGTCAGATACACACTGCTTATGATATGAGTGTGAACAGATAAAATAAAATAGGCGAATCAGCATTCGTGCACAACTAAAGCATTGTTAAGGTCCTATAAAAGGATAAGAAACTTAACATAATTTTCTTACATTTCTTATGTAACCCGAAGTAAATAATCTAATTCAATTTAAAATATGATGTCTGCAAATACAAAATTAATAAAATAGTAATAATAATAATATCTTTAACTTTATTTCCTAAAGATTAATGTATATTTGTTCAAGCACTTTTAATAAAAAACACAGAAACTCAGTACCAACTTTTACAGCTTACTCGGGCAATACAAGGCAGTTGTTGCAACACAAAAAACATTTAACATAGTTGTACAAGAAGCTTCTTCTGCCAATGTGCTACTATATATATTGTATGTGTATCTTTGGTGTTATTAATAGATATATATATGTAACACATTAGATATGTAAATTAAAGTTGTAAAAGGCTCTAAAGTCTATCAAGATTCCTCCTTCTACTCACCAAAATAGCAATTAAAGTTAACTTGCAATTAGTTCTTAGGAATTTCCATCCAGCTCCAGCTTTCTTTAAATTTATCTTGGTGAGTAAAAATATTCTGTTTGTTGTAAAACACAAATCTATACAGTGGGCAATCTGTGCTGTGCCAACCATGAGTATCGAAAACCGATTTTTAGCGTTATAAGCATTCATACTTATTGCTGAGCCACAAGGAGCTGATAGAGTTGTTGCTGATGTTTGTAGTACAAAACTACACACTTGGCTAGCTGCGTTCTCTCTATTGCATGGGACAAAACTCCAGATTTTAGCGCGTTAGACCATAAACTTCCTGCTGACCCACCAGGGGATATAGAGTAAAAATGAATATCACTCAATATATATATGTATGGTGTCACTACAGAAGTTCTACTCAAGTTCTGTATGAAAAATAACTTTTCATAATTATTTAACAGTTTAATAATGTTTTGGGGATCATGCCATCAAACTCAAGCTGTTATGTCACACGTATAGAGTATCTAGATTTTTTTAATAAATATTCAAAAAGAAAATCATGATTTAAACTTCAAGTACAGGCCAGAATTCGGAATTCTCTCTGTACGAATTTTGACTTTAATTAAGTGTTCCACGGTGAGACAGCGCTATATTTACGGACTTACAATGCTAAAATCCGCAGTGGACACAATAAATAGTTTGACATGGCTTTGCTCTAAACAAACAAACAATTAATTAAGAGTAAGAATGTTTTTGAAAATATGTGTAACATTCTTGTGAAGCCTCTCAACATGTTTGAAAGAATTCAGTAATGGATTACTAACATAATCCCTCTAAAAAAACATTTTTCGTAGAAATGCTTAAAATCTTGAACTTGTTATATCTGGAATGTCGAAAAATTTGAGATGATTGATTCAGATATTCAAAATTGTTTGGGTAAACTTGCGAGGGGTGGCTTTTTGGAAAGAAAAGGCTCGATAATTTGGTGTTATGTTTCAAAGCTACATAATGGGCTGTGCCCACTATGGGTACCGAAAACTTTTTTTTCCTTATAGACCTTCAGACTTACCACTGTGCAATTGGAAGGGGGGGGGGTCGAGAAATGAGCTTCACTATTGAAATATTTTAACTTTGAAAGCCCAGTTACATACTTTAAATCATATTTTTGGTCAGAGTGCAGACTTGTAGATTGGTTTGTCTGATGCTATATTAATTTTGAGTTATTGTATTCAACGCTAGTTTAATAGGTGGTGGGTACATGAATGCCAATGGCTGCATTTACCTTGTTTTTGATGTTTAACGTTGATTGCTATGAGAGGCGATTTCGGTGAAATGAATGACTTTCTGCCACCGTCCTCTCTCTCTTGTGTTTTTATCTTGATAACACTTAGAGTCTCATGCTCAGAACATGACAGGAATAAAGTACGAATCGAACTTTTTTTTTCCTAAATACTATTATATTAATAAAGTTTTAATGAACAGCACTAATAACTCTAATATTATCAATGACAATGCAATCTTTTCAGTATCAAAACAAGCAGATTCTTATTTTTAAAAATGGTAAATGTAAGACAGAAAAAAAATGACTATATGTAATTTTAATCTATTTGAAATGTTTTTGTTATCCTTACCTTCTTGGGTAAAACAATATTGTATGTCAGGCTGTGGCCGATGTGAACATTACTCGAGTTTTCAATACCAGCAGAAATATATTGACCAGAACATTCGTCGCTAATACCAGCAATAGGTTCAGTGACTATATTATCCAACAGATGGTGCAACCTACCAAACCCCTGTGTCCCGTCAGTAGTTAAATCTTCTAATTCATTTTCTTCCATTTGTTGATTTAATTGGTGTTATTGGTTCAAACATTAAATTTCAATCTGAAACGTGAAAAGAAAAAAAAAAATCTTCTTTTACCCAAGGTATACGTCACGCATTGGATAAATAACTATAAATTCGACAGAAGGAAACTATGAAAGAAATATCAAATTATTTAATTAGAATATTGGTTAAGTACACATTATTCAACTTATTCGATAATATGAGAATTAAGAACCTTCCATTTTGAGGCAACATTAAATCTGGCAGAAAACATTTTGATTTAAGGGGTATAAATTCGAGCTTATTTACAAGTAACTTACAACCATTTATCCAGAAAAATAGATTTGCTAAACAAAAGAGTGAAAAATAGAAAATTGAGGTCCTTTCGACCGTCCAGTCATATACTCTTATAGTAAAAATAATAACTTGTGTGTTTGAATGTGTGTAAGGGTAGCTCATATATATTGCGAACCGTGGTGTCTGCCTAAGCGTTCGTCTATCTCCTGTCTGAAAAGCTGTGCGCGAGGGCAAAGCTCAACATTCACTTTTAAAATGACGGGAGGATAGCCATGAATAATGTTGATGCCAAATTTTATTTCGCAAGCAGGATATTCTACACTAAATTGTTAGGAATTAATCACACTGTCATTCACATTTTAAAATGTGACGTAACTTAAAGAATAAAAATGTAGATTTACCAAATGTGGGTGGTATAAGAAGCTTAGAACTTTGGCTCTGAGTGAAACCAAGAGTGCAACACAATTAACCCTTTTAAAGGTCATGAAATAATTTAAGTTGATAGATTAACTTAAACTTTTCTCGTCACTCCAGACGGGTACTTTTGCTTGTAACTTCATAATACGGATGGTTGATCCAACAACCAGCAATGATACTAAATTTACGATATTTCCTGTATCCATTTATCCCAAAATAATTTTAAAGAGCCGCATTTGAATTATCTTTGTGTTTTCTAAAGACAAATGTTTGGCAGAGAACAATTAGGAATTGGATTTCAAATATCTAAATAATTGTTATTTTACAAATTACATTTTTCACGTACTTTATATGGGCCGGGTGTGGCCTGTTGATTACTGTACCGGATTGTGATTCTCAGTGTTCATGGTTCGCATCACGTTACCGCAAAAACACCCTCCGCACTTTAGAGTCATGGGTGCATTATAAGACTGACGTTCAAATCCGTATATTCGATGAAAGTATTCCAAAAGCTGGTGTTGGGTGCTGTTAATTAGCTGACTTTCCTCTTGTCTATTAGCTAAAAATTAAGGACCACTAAGCGTAGACAGCCCTTCACGTGGGCTTGCGCGAAATCTTAAAACATTATTTAAAAAATTTTTAGAACTTATTTTTTATATAATATCAATAAAAATCACTTACAGTCAACACGCAGATTTAACACGTGAAGCTTGTCAGAAATGAGGATGTAATTTTCTATGTATTTGTTTTTTGTAATAAGGACTCTGAATTTGAAACACCTATCAACTGACAGTTAAAAACATAAACAAAAATCAAGATATCAACGAAAATACGACACAAAATCATTTTTCCAGCAATTTCCAAAATGGGCTCATACTACTAAAACCCGGGTTTCAATACTCGTGGTGGGCGCATCATAGATGGTCCATTGTGTAGCTTTGTGCTTAACAACAAACACACACTTTTCAAAATTTTCATCAATTACGCTACCGCCATCTTTCAAAACGATTCCGCAATATGAAAGATATTTGTTTCGATGTGCCCCTCAAATGTCGCACCCCCCCACCCAGTAACTCAGCGGCAAGTCTGCAGGTCAACATCTGTTCTTGCACAGATTTTAAAATATAACGTTGATAAACGGAAACATCGGCACATGTACATATGTAGATCATGAAAGTCGAGTTGTTCAAAACTTGAAAATAGCGTTGATAACTGGACCAATTGATGGTTGAGATGTTGCAAACAGATGTTTCCGCATATAAAAGCTATCTTCAAGTTTTGTACACCAAAAAAAAAAACGCTAAAAATCGAGTTTCGATACCCCTGGTGTTACTTTGTGTTTAACAACAGCCAAACCCAGAAATTCAAATGTTATAAAACGTTATATGATTTCATCTTCGTTCTTAAAGAACACAATAGTGAATATGCGTGAAGATAGATTGCTAAAAGATAAGAAAAACATATTTTGCACTTTTTAACTCCCTCCCCAATGGCACAGTTGTATGTCTGCGGGATTACAACGCTAGAAACCGGGTTTCGATACCCGGAAGGACAAAGCATAGATAGTCCATGGTGCATCGTTGTGCTTAAACGACAAACAAACTTTTCAAAAAGTCTTAGAAAATCGTTTACTCGAACTTAAAATCATAATTTATGGTGTAAGATTTTAAGCACTCACAGATAAAAAGCTGCAGAGTCGTTTGAACAGCAGAAACTTTGCAGACGACAATTTTTAGCAGCACTGTAAAAAACACGTCGATACACTGAGGCATAATTTACAAACAGCGTCGGAAATCTCTTCAGCATTCTAGGCAAATTTTATGCTCAAGTTAGACAGGTGTGTACTTTATAGGTTTATTAGCATGATTACGCGATGGAGGGCTGTTATATTCTAAAAATTAAACATTTTTTTTTAATCTTACTGATTTATTATTGATTCTAAAATAAGATCATAATCGTCAATCAGATATCAAACTTTAGGATTTACATGCAGGTCCAGGGAAATAGGTAAAATATAATAATATAGCGCTAATCTATATAAATAAAATCTATATAAATAAAAATGTAAATGTTCGTTTGTTCAAAATCTTAAATCTCCGAAAGTTCTTCACTGATTGCTTTGAAATTTTGACACAACGTTGCATTCGAATACGCGCATGTTTTTACATACCTACTATTATATAAATGTCACACCTGTGACAGGTAAAAACATGCTTCTTTTGAAAAACAGCACCATCTGTTGGACGTAAAAGCAACACACGCTATACTAAATATTTTACGATTCCATTTCAATGTTTCCGATTGCATTGTTAAATTGATTTTCATAGATTTCGATTTATTTTAATTTTGATTTAATTATTTCGTGTGACATTGCGTTGGAATTGAGCTGTGTCGTTTACCATAGCGTTCATTTCGTGAGTATAGTCAGGGG